TGTGGCATATGTGGTAGGGGAAGGCTGGGGGCCTGGACTCCTGGGTGTGAGGGAGGAGGGGCTGGGGGCCTGGACTCCTAGGTCTGAGGGAGGAGGGCTGGGGGCCTGAACTCCTGGGTCTGAGGGCGGAGGGACTGGGGACCTGGACTCCTGGGTGTGAGGGGCTGGGGTGTGGATATCTGGTTATGAAGTAGACTGAAGCTGGTCTCTGGGGAGCTGATAACAAAGCCAAACTCCAGAGCACTAACCCTGCGAATCTACAGAATTAGGGACAGAGGAACCACCCATTGGGTTTTGAGACTGTAGGCAGCTTGCAGGCCACACACATGTCTGAACTCCTGAGGCTAAATATTGGGAGATCGGGCCCCAAGGTCCTGAGCAGAAGGAGGGGGGGATAGTGGACTGTACCCGGGCCCCAAGATGCAAGACTGGACAGAGGAGCCCAGGGCCTCGGGCTGGGCAGGGGACCCTGCTTCGAGCCTGTACCTGCAGCTCCTCGAAGCTCAGCCCGGCCACCTCCAGGGGCTGGCACCGCGTGCTCAGAGCGCGGCCCTTCTCCCCGCGCCGCTCCTCTGCCTCGCGCTCCAGCTCCTGCTTCCCTATCTGCAGCATCAGGGTCTGCGAGGGGAGACTGGACCTCAACTCATGTCGTGGGGAGCGGGATGAAGACCCTCCGCCGCCGGCCCTCTAATGCCAGCTCTGGCCTGACGTCTTTCAGGGTCCCGCCCCCTCAAGGTCCATCATTCCAAGGCCCGCCGCAAAGCCACTCCCCCAAACCCAACACTCCAAGCCCCACCCACTCCCACATTTGAAGCCTCAAGCTCCGCCCCCCAGGGATGCCTAGGCTCCCTCTCCAGACCGGGTCTCACCTTCAGCTGCAGTTTTCTCGAGGCGGAGATCTTCGACTTTTTCTGCGGGGATGAGATGGAGAGAGGAAGGAGCAGGGAGGGGAGAGCACAGGTAGGGGTAGGCAGTGGGAGGGGCTTAAGAACCCGCCCTCTCCAGCCAGGTCCAGATTTGAGCCCGCCTCCTATTCCAACATTCGGCTTACAAGAGGCCACGCCCCTCAGTCCCATCCACCAATCTGGGCCTCTGACTCTGGGTTGGCCTCGCCCACCACCTCCTACGCAACCGCGGTTCCCACGAGCAACGGAACTCCGCCCATAGGCAGCGCTCACCAATCAGAGCCTGGTCCGGTGCGAAACTCCGCCCATAGGCAGCGCTCACCAATCCGAGCCCGGTCCGGTGCGAAACTCCACCCCTCAAACCCCCCGTCATCCACCGGGGCTCCGCCCAAGGCCCAAACCCCGCCTCCCTGAAGGCCACGGCCCCGCCCCTTTTTCCCACGGTGCAGGGTAGCCTCTTAGGCTCTGAATCCAGGCCCCGCCCCGGCCCCGCCCCG